TGTCTCGCAAGGAGACACCTCTCTATGAAACCACTAATAGCAATGCCAAGTGTAACCATTGTGGCTCTGGCTTACATATTAACTCCTTATAAGGCACACAGGCTCTAAAATATACGACATAACATTCCTTTAATCTGAGGCATATAAGCAGCTCACTCGGGCTGCATTAGCAGCAACTGAATTTACACTCCAAGCCAACACGTCTGCTTATTTTCTCCTCCTTCCTCCAACAGACCCTCTGCATCTGGTCCTTACCGGGGGGACCATCTTATGAATAACAGGCCCACACCTGGCATGCACTTTGCCTTCCAACAAGTACGGTACCTTCAAGTTCCTCCCGATCTCATAGTGATCATCCAGGTTCTCTTGCCTGAGACAGTCATGATAGCTTGCCATCCTCAAAAGAAAGGAAAACAAACACTCTCGGGCCGCGCCGCCGCCTTTCAACTCATCACATCCCTGGTCAAATCCTTCCAGCATTTTTGCGGCTTGCAATTTCCCTGAAGAAAACAGAGGTGGGGACGGGGGAAGGGGGAAAACAGTTGTTTTAGTTAAAAACGCCTGCGTGTTGAAAGGGGTTGGTTATCCGCACACTGCAACATGCACGCCAAACCCGCCACCGGTGAACGCCAAATGTTCCCAGCGGGCGGCGGCGGCGGAGCGACCCCGTTTCAGGATCGCCCGTGCGGATCAGCCGCGCGCGGCCTTGGGCTGCTCACTTTGCTGTCCAGGAACCTCCGGGACTGCGCTGACCGACGGCAAATGGAAGGCCGCCGTTCCTTCCCCGGCTCCCGTCCATACATAGGAGAGGGGCGTCTCCCTCCGACCTTCCCCTTCCTCAAAGCTGCAAAAGTGGGAAACGCGCCGGCCTGTGGGGAGGGGAAGGGAGAACCCGAGGGCTCGTTTCCCGGATTCGAGCCCGCTCGCGGGCGAGAGAGCAAAGCGCCCAAGCGCGCCTCACTTTCGCTGGCCGGAGAAGCCGGAGCGGGCGGCGCGAGCAGCCCCATTTCCACTCAGAGGGCGCCTCCGCAGCCGCCGGGCGCCACATTCCTCAGCCGCACTACCCCCTCCGTGTTACCCGGTCAACTAGGACGTGCTGCCGGGAGAGCCTCCGCTCGCCGCTGCTACTATACTACACGGTTTAAAAGGCGCCTGCTCCAGAGTGAGAACCGCGTCCACTCGGGAGTTCAGCCAGCGGCCGGGGCCTGCCCAGGTTGCTTGCAGGGTGCGCGCGGGGACCCTTCCTCCTTTCCCCTCCCTGGGCCTCGCACGAGGCCTCCTCTCCCCACACCAGCGGCGCCGGAGGAGGAGGGGGAAGCGGCCGGCAGTCGGCTGAACTAACCGAGGGAGGGAAGCGCGGAGGGAGGGAAGGGAGGGGAGAAAGGGAAGGAAGCCCTTCCGCCGTCGCCGCGCTAAGCTTGGCGGCGGCAGGCTGGCAGCTGCAGGGGCGAGGAGCGCGCGCCCGGACTTCTCTTTGGCGCAGCGGGACCCTCGCTTCCCGGTTGGGGGCAGCCCAGAGAGAGGAACCCGCCCCCTCCTCTTTCTCCTCCTCCTCCTCCTCCTCCTCTCCAGACGTGCTGGCTCTCTTTCTCTCCGCCGCCGGCGAGACTCACCGGCCGCACTAGCCGCAGGCGCGACAATCGGCCGCCGACGTCTCGCTCCCGGAGAGCCCAAGCAAGCAGGAGAGAAGACTGCCGGCCAGCGGACCAATGGGAAGGCTGCTGCCGCGGCGCCCCCCCCCCACCTTCTTCCTTCCTGACCTGCGCTCGCAGCGGCGAAGGGCGGGGTACGGGGCGAGCCCGGCTGCGCGGGAACGCAGGGCGCAAACGCGCCGTACAGGTGTCAAGAGGCTGCCGGCGCGCCACGCGCTTGGGCCGGCCCGAGGTTCGCCTCGGTTTGCCCTAGCGGGAAGAGGAGGCGCTTAAGGGCCTGCTGCGCACCTGCGGTGCCTTGGAGTGCTTCGACGGCCAGGCAGCTCGGGCCGCAATGGCTCCGCTTGGGATTAATCGACGGCGGAGGGCAAGTGCTAAAGCAAACAACCTGAGATATGCAGGTGACACACCTTGATGGGCCAGAAAAGAGAGGAAGAATTAAAGAAACCTTTTAATGAGGGTGAAAGAGCGCAAAATAATGGTCTTGAAGCTCAACATCAAAAAAAATGAAGATCATGGCCACTGGGCCATCACCTCTGGCAAATAGAGGGGGAAGAATGGCAGGGCAGAGAGAGATTATTACTTTCTTGGGCTCCATGTCACTGCAGATGGTGACAGCAGCCACGAAATTAAAAGATGCCGCTTCTTGGGAGAAAAGCGATAGACAAACCTAGACCAGCATCTTAAAAAAGCAGAGACATCGCCTTGCCAACAAAGGTCTGTATAGTTAAAAGCTATGGTTTTCCCAGTAGTGATGTATGGAAGTGAGAGCTGGACCATCAAGAAGGCTTGATCACGAAGAATTGATGCTTTTAAATTATGGTGCTGGAGGAGACTCTTGAGAGTCCAGTGGACTGCAAGAAGATCAAAACCTCTCCATTCTTGAAGGAAAATTTCAGCCCTGAGGGGCTCACTGGAGGACAGATCCTGAAGCTGAGGTCCAATACTTTGGCCACCTCATGAGAAGAGGAAGACTTCCCTGGAAAAGACCCTGATGTTGGGAAAAGATGGAGGGCACAAGGAAAGGGGAGGACAGGGACGAGAATGGTTTGGACAGTGTTCTCGAAGCTACCAGCATGAGTTTGACCAAACTGCGGGAGGCAGTGGAAGACAGGAGTGCCTGCGTGCTACTGGTCCAGGGGGTTCACGAAGAGTCGGACAAGACTAAATGACTAAACAACAACAACAACACATTTGTGACTTCAGGCATGCAGGAGCTGGAGCCTGTGGTTGAGAAGAGGCTCCAAATCGCAGCTTCTCTCCTTCGTTGCCCTTTCAAGTTATGCGCTCTGGCCTAATAAGCAAGATAAGCTTGTTAGATTAAGATAACAGACCGTATTAAAATTGGATTGTCTTTGTAGCTGCACCAGGTTAAGAACATGAAACTTACTGGAACATAAGAGGTGAACAATAGCAAAACTGCGAACACAACTCCACATAGTTTTTTTGTTACTTTCACTACGGGGGGGGGGGTAGAAAAGTTTTGTAAATGTGTGCGGTAGATGAGCCTTTCAAAAGTGTGACCGACTCCAGAAGGCCTAAAATGATTTAAATTGGCTGAGATAAATGTGTGTTGGGGGAGATGGCAAGAAGGGTGCTAGGTTTAAGTTCTACTACTGTGGCCAAGGGACTTGCTATTTATAGACTTTAAGATTACAGCAACACCTACAAAACCAATTAAAATACTGTTAAATTTCCCATCCTTCTGTACAGTTTATTTGTAATCACGAACAAGTGAGTCCAAATAGGTCTTGCAGTGCTTCTGAAGATCGCTCTACCCTCAGGCTTCGAAGGGTATTGAGAGAAAGGAGTTGTATTAATGCAAGGGGAGGACTCTATTCTACATACCGTGCTAAATTTGCCCCATGAAAAGGGATACTGATAGGACTCTACCATTTGGCTGATTTCAGATTAACTAGCCACCATTGCTCAGCATAGTGGAAAGAAGTGATTGTTAAGTTTTGTTGTTTAGTCGGAAGCCTTTTAGCTGTGTATTGGTCAAAAACCAGCGGCTTACATTTCTTTTTAGAAGCAGACACTGGAACAATGTTGCCAGTGATCGATTGCCATTAGGAGGAGATGGGCTGATATTGCTCAGCACCGAAGACCGAAACTCATATTAAAAGGATATTTACTGTTCAAAATATGTATTTGTTATTTAGTTAGAATGGAATTTCCCAAAAGGGGATACTGCTGTAAATATTAATGCCAGAAAAGGGACAACGTAAGTGAGCCCCTGCTGAATCCTGCCAGAGGCAACATCTTTACCCAGTATTATGTCCTGCACAGTGCCAAACTGATGTCTTGAGAAGCCCGCCAAGCAGAAATTGAACGCATCAGCAGTCTCCCCACTTGTAAATTCCTACGTAGCTGGTATACAGAGGTTATACTATACTCGTGAGAAAGGTTTTGGGAGGTAATCGCAAGGAAAATCCCCTACTTGCTGCCCTAGTGGGGTATCTTTCAGGAGAAGAAAAAGGTTAAGGAGCAAATCCTACACAAACCAAAGTGAAGTCCCTAAGGACGGTTGAATAGCATTCTTGTATGCCTCCTTCGCAGCTCCTGCAGCCAAGCTGGTGCCAGAGTATTGCTCTGCTTACCTTGAAACTGCATCAATGAGGCGAGTGCGAGGATCTTGTTGTCTGGGATCTGCCAACCTCCACACACCACTGTCCAGGTTTCCGCCCTGGAGAGGTTCCTTCAGTGTACTAATGCCAGCAAAACAATCAAAATGCGAGGCAGAGTATTGAGTTTACAGTCTTCTGCCAGCCACAGGCAGTGCTGTGATTTCCCAGCAATTTGCCTTCAATCCCAGAGGCACACTCCCAGTGTATCTTGAGGAAGACGGATACCAAACCAAACTGCCTCCAACAGTGGAACATCTCTATGGGCTAGTAACATTGATACCCTTTGCCCTTCATTGATTATCTAATCCCCCTTTTAAAGCCGTCTAAGTTGGTTGGGAATCACTACCTTTGTAGGAGCAAATTCACATCTAACTATGCTCAAGTGTGAGAAGAAATAGCCTTGTATTACTCTGAAGGACTAATGCATTTGATTACAAGGTTTTTTAAGGTTAAAGAACAAAACTATATTCCACATTGAGTTTTTCAGTTAATTGAATTTTGAATAATTGAGTAAAACAAATCCTGTATCCTGTCCTGTTACATATTGACAGTACTGAAATTTAAATTTGCCAAAACATACCAGAGGGCAGGTCTTTGTAAAACTAAGCCACCTTCGTGAGGATTAAGTGTTTTGACTGTTTTGATCAGGAGCAATGAAAAAAGTTTCAGAAGAATGCAGCACTGTGGCAACCGCATACACAAAGTCCTTGAAACAACAAAGTATCATAAAAGAACGGCAGAATTGTTTATTTAAAATGCACAGCCACACTGCTTGCAACCGCAAGAGAACTAAACAGAAACAGGCTTATATTTGCTTGCATTTCATAATCATTTCCACCGAAATCTGCTTTGGTCTTCTGAAATTGCATGATGAGCCGATTGCTTAAAACATCTGTTTAAAAGATAAGGGAGTACTTATCTTAGTTTTAAGTTTGGTATTTTAATGGAGATAATGTGACTAGTGAATATTTTACATTCCAATCTCAAATATTTTTAACCGGGCATCTCATTGATTTTGATAGAGACTACTCTCAAGGTGACAAATATAAGGCCTGATTCATAGTTACTGCCGCCCACATGGGAAAACATTTGGGTAATTACTTGATTACAGCTCCACAAAGCAAGGCATTTGTGTGAAGTGGCTTCCAGTCCATATGGCAAGTATTCAGGACACTCTGTCTCGCTGGTTTAAAACAGGTAATTTATGTTGCAGCCTTTGCCTATATGGCTGTAGGTTCAAATCTCCTATTGATTTAAAAAAAAAGATAGGGTACCTTCTTCTCAGTCACAAGCATCCTCAGTTAAAGGATCTCACGAACCTTTGAGGTCTTCTGCTAGTCAGAATAGACTACACTGGATCAGATGGTCCAATGATTTGACTCAGTATAGAGCTGCAACTTAATCCCTTAATTAAGATAATCCAGTTCAGATAGCATTCTAAAACAGCACACAAATGAACATGCTAGATCCAAACTTAACTAGAATCATTCTGCAACTTATTTGCTACACTATGTATTTTCCTCCATGGTGCATTATTTTTATTTGCTTTGTAGCACCAGTGTTGAAATTCCCAGCACCAGGCGTGTTTGCTACTGTGCGGATCCAATGCGACTACGTGGAGATTGCTGGGCGCCAGTTGGTAGCTGACCTCTCTATCGAGCCAGCTGACTCGTGTGTGGCAAAAGAGGTGCTTTCTTATGCTTCCATGTGAATCAGGGGCTCCTGACCCAGAACATAACCTCCGTACAAATCGGGGTTTGGCTGCGTTCGGAAACATACTTCCTCCACCTGCAGAGGCACAACATTGCTATCATGGCTAGTAGCCCCTGAAAGTTTTGTCCTCTATGTATTTGACCAAGCTTCATTTACAGGCATCCAAGTTGATGGCCATCACCATCTCCTGTCACAGCAGCAGAGCTTCCTAGTTAACTACGCACTGTATTAAGAAGTACTTTATCTGCATAGCTGTCAACTTACAGATTTGAAAATAAGGGATCAGCAGCCAAAATAAGGGATCAACAATTACTTTGATAAAATACATATTTTGTTGCGTGCAAATGGCTTTAGATACCTATTAGGTCCATAAATTACCATATAGCATATATTCAACACAAAAAACCAGCAACAATTTGTTGTTGACAAAGCAAGCTGGATATAGAAAGGGCCCCATACCTTCAGTAGCTTATTTAAGAGACATCATTAATAAGGGACAGCAGCGAGACATGGCGCTGGAATAAGGGACTGTCCCTCCAAATAAGGACACTTGACAGCTATGTTTGTCTGTCCTGAAGCTTCCAACAAAACATTTCTGTCCACTTTCTCCATGCCATGCATAATTTTATATGCTTCCATCATGCCACCTCCAACTCGCCTTTTCTCTATATTAAAAAGTCCCAAATGCCGTGACATTGCACATGCTACAATCGTCCCAATTAGTTCTGATCAGTATTCTGTTGAAGGATGAATTTCTTTATTCACTTACTGGGAACAAGTCCCACTGAGCTCAGTGGGGCTCACTTCCAAGCAGACATGCACAGGCTTGCACTGTTAGTGACTACCTGTTGGTACTTGGGAATCATCAGTACTGATGCAATCTGCACAAAAAGAAGCACTGCCCATAGTAAAATGGGAGAACATCCATGTTTAAATTTAAGCTGAATTATGGGAGCACTACTTTTGTTTTCCCATCAGCCACTGTATGACGATTGCCAGAAACAAATTTAAAGGTCACTGAATTAAAAGCGATCAACTGTTTTACTGTACATTTTAGGGAGAAATGGATTCCCCCATAACATGTCGAGGTACGGAATTTAGCTTTTATACACTAAATAGTGCACATTCAATTCACAATAACTGAAGGGACACCGTTCCCCATCTCTCCCCCCCCAAAACAGAGTTTACACCATTGAAATAAAAGGCTGCAGCATCAGATTTCTATTTTTGTATAACAATTTTGTATGATACACAATTTTGTATGATACATCACTGGTAAAAGTAAACTCATTTAAGCAAGCACAAAAATCAAGATGGAAGCCAACACTAATGCTTTTTTTCCAAGCGTGAGAGCCCCTTCATCCACAGGGCATGCTCACAGTATAGACTTTGGTCAAGCCACTAGCTCAGTTTAGATGTAATGACAAACAAGAGTTTGGTGAATAGGAGCATCTCTATAAGTTTAAATGCATGTTCTCTCTTTGCATGCAAGTTCCCTCCATCCACTTACTACTTTTTGCTAGCCATGCCTTGCCATGATGTCCACATTGGTACACCATGGTTAGTGCTAACCTCTAAACTATTGTTTGCAGACCCACACCAAATCATGTATGGAGGTCAGTGGCTCAACTTAACCTTCCCCAGAGTTGTTGTGATAGTAGTGAAGAATAATAAAACACAGGGTGAAATTTAACTTCACACTATGGTGAATCTTCTATCTGTGCAAGTGTATCAGCTTGCTAGAGAGCCCTCCCATTCCTACTCTGGCGGTTCACCCAACCATTTTGGGGGTTCAGGGAAAAAGCCTTATTGTGCAACCCTTGTGCAGAGCCTCAGCTTACAGAGTTCGTTAGGTAAATCCTACCCTTAGTGTACTGCAGAGTGCTATACTGCAAAGCACCAATAGTTCCCCTAGTTTTTAAATTTAAAAATTAGCAATACCTTAAAAGATAAAATGCAAGCAGCAAACACAACACACAGTAAAAAGCACACACTTCATTTAGCAATTAAGCTAGGAGATTTAAAACCAAAAGCAAACTATAATCTCTAGTCAATGGTCTGCGTTTTCCAGCACAAAGCTGTGGCATAGACACAGCATTCTGTAGTATTCAACTAACAAGCTTTATGGAGACCGTGTTAAATCTACACTGCTTAATGACTATAAATCTCTTGATCTGACATTTGACTGGAATGGAATAATTGAACTCTGATACCTTGAAACCGATCGATCTCCACTGGATTGAAAACAAATGCTAGAAATTATCTGTATTCAGGCACCCTCATACTTAAAGAACCAAGGTGAAGATGGAGAAATTATTAATATTGCATGCTAGTATTAATATTGCAAACTGGTTTGCATTCTTCCACATACACTAATAATTCACTACTGTTATCATCAGAACTTAAGTGTGCATACAAACCCACCCACCTATGAAAACCACTTTTGCAATCAGCATAAAAATAGACATACAAGTATCAACTGTAATGTTTCAATCCTCCAGCCTTACATACAGAAGAAAATCGCTTTAGCTTAGAATCACCTTTCTACGCAATGTCATCTGAGTACATATATGTATGCAAGGAGACACCTCTCTATGAAACACTAATAGCAATGCCAAGTGTAACATTTTGCTTCTGGCTTACATATTAACTCTTATAAGGCACACAGGCTCTAAAATATACCACGGAACATTCCTTAATCTGAGGCATATAAGCAGCTCACTGGGCTGCATTAGCAGCAAATGAATTTACACTCCAATCCAACACAGTCTGCTTATTTTCTCCTCCTTCCTCCAACAGACCCTCTGCTATCTGGTCCTTGCCCGGGGACCATCTTATTGATACAGGCCCACACCTGGCATGCACTTTTCCTTCCAACAAGTACGGTACCTTCCAAGTTCCTCCCCGATCTCATAGTGATCATCCAGGTTCTCTTGCCTGAAGACAGTCATGATAGCTGCCACTCCTCAGAAAGGAAAACAACACTCTCGGGCCGCCGCCGCCGCCGCCTTTCAACTCATCACATCCCTGGTCAAATCCTCCAGCATTTTGCGGCTGCAATCCCTGAAGAAACAGAGGTGGGGACGGGGAAGGGGAAAGACAGTTGTTTAGTTAAAACGCCTGCGTTTGCAAGAGGGGTGTGGTTATCCGCACACTGCAACATGCACCCAACCCGCACCGGTTAACGCCAAATGTCCCCAGCGGCGGCGGCGGCGACCCCGGTTTCAGGATCGCCGTGCAGATCAGCCCGCGCGCGGCCTTGGGCTGCTCAACTTTGCTCTCCAGGAACCTCCGGGACTGCGCTGCCGACGGCAAATGGAAGGCGCCGTTTCTTCCCCGGCCTCCCGTCCATACATAGGAGAGGGGCTCCCCCTCGCCTTCCCCCTTCCTCCAAAGCTGCAAAATGGGAAACGCGCCGGCCTGGGGGAGAGAGGGGGGGGGGAGAACCGACGCTCGTTTCCCGGATCGAGCCCCTCCGCGGGCGAGAGAGCAAAGCGCAGCGCGCCTCACCTTTCGCTGGCCGAGAAAGCCGGAGCGGCGGCGCGAGCAGCCACCATTTCCACCTCAGGAAGGCGCCTCCGAGCCGCCCGGGCGCCACATTCCTCAGCGACTCCCCCTCCGTTACCCGGTCAACTAGGACGTGCTACCGGGAGGAGCCTCCGCCGCCGCTGCTACTACTACTACACGGTTTAAAAGGCGCCTGCCTCAGAGGAGACCACGTCCATCTCGGGAGGCAGCCAGCGCCGGCCTGCCCAGGTTGCTTGCAGGGGCGCGCGGGGACCCTTCCTCCTTTCCCCTCCTGGGCGCTCGCACGAGGCCTCCTCTCCCCCACACGCAGCGGCGCCGGAGGAGGAGGGAAGCGGCCGGCAGCTCGGCTGAACTAACCGAGGGGAGGGAGCGGCGGAGGAAGGGAGGGAGAAAGGGAAGGAAGCCCTCCGCCTCGCCGCGCTAAGCTGTGGCGGCGGCGGCTGCAGCTGCAGCTGCAGGGGGAGGAGCGCGCGCCCAGGACTTCTCCTTTGGCGCAGCGACCCTCTTCCCGGGTTGGGGCAGCCCGAGAGAGAGAACCCGCCCCCTCCTCTTTCTCCTCCTCCTCCTCCTCCTCCTCCTCTCCAGACGTGCTGCGCTCTCTTTCTCTCGCGCCGGCGACTCACCGGCCGCACTAGCCGCAGGCGGCGACAATCGGCCCCCGCCGACGTCCTCGCTCCCGGGAGAGCCCAGCAAGGCAGGAGGAGAAGGACTCCGGCCAGCGGCCAATGGGAAGGCAGCTCCACGCGGCGCTCCCCCCCTCCTTCTCCTCTCCTGACCTGCGCTCGGCAGCGGCGAAGGGGCGGGGAGCCCGGCGCGCGGACGCAGGCGCGCGACGCGGCCGTACAGGTGTCAAGAGCTGCCGGCGCGCGCGCTTGGGCCGCCCGAGGGTTCGCCTCGGTTTGCCCAGCGGGGAGGAGGAGGCGCTTAGGCCGGCTGCCGCACCTGCGGTGCCCTTTGGAGTGGCTTCGACGGCCAGGCAGCTCGGCGCAATGGCTCCGCTTGGGATTAATCGACGGCGAGAGGGCAAAGTGCTAAAGCAACAACCTGAGATATGCAGGTGACACAACCTTGATGGCAGAAAGAGAGGAGGAATTAAAGAACCTTTTAATGAGGGTGAAAGAGCGCAAAATATGGTCTGAAGCTCAACATCAAAAAAATGAAGATCATGGCCACTGGGCCCATCACCTCCTGGCAAATAGAAGGGGAAGAAATGGAGGCAGAGAGAGATTTTACTTTCTTGGGCTCCATGATCACTGCAGATGGTGACAGCAGCCACGAAATTAAAAGACGCCTGTTTCTTGGGAGGAAAGCAATGACAAACCTAGACAGCATCTTAAAAAGCAGAGACATCGCCTTGCCAACAAAGGTCTGTATAGTTAAAGCTATGGTTTTCCCAGTAGTGATGTATGGAAGTGAGAGCTGGACCATCAAGAAGGCTGATCGCCGAAGAATTGATGCTTTTTAATTATGGTGCTGGAGGAGACTCTTGAGAGTCCCATGGACTGCAAGAAGATCAAACCTCTCCATTCTGAAGGAAATCAGCCCTGAGTGCTCACTGGAAGGACAGATCCTGAAGCTGAGGCTCCAATACTTTGGCCACCTCATGAGAAGAGAAGACTCCCTGGAAAAGACCCTGATGTTGGGAAAGATGGAGGGCACAAGGAGAAGGGGACGACAGGGACAAGATGGTTGGACAGTGTTCTCAAAGCTACCAGCATGAGTTTGACCAAACTGCGGGAGGCAGTGGAAGACAGGAGTGCCTGGCGTGCTCTGGTCCATGGGGTCACGAAGAGTCGGACAAGACTAAATGACTAAACAACAACAACAACAACAACAACATTGTGACTTCAGGCATGCAGGAGCTGGAGCCTGTGGTTGAGAAGAGGCTCCAAATCGCAGCTCTCTCCTCAGCTTGCCCTTTCAAGTTATGCTCTCTGGCCTAATAAGCAAGATAAGCTTGTTAGATAAGATAAAGGACCGTATTAAAATGGATTGTCTTGTAGCTGCACCAGGTTAAGAAACATGAAACTTACTGGAACATAAGAGGTGAACAATAGCAAAACTGGAACAACTCACATAGTTTTTTTGTTTACTTTCACTACGGGGGGGGGGGGTAGAAAGTATTGTAATGTGTGCGGTAGATGAGCCTTTCCAAAAGTGTGACCGACTCCAGAAGGCCTAAAATGATTTAAAATTGGCTGAGATAATGTGTGTTGGGGAAGATGGCAGAAGGTGCTAGTTTAAGTCTACTACTGTGCAAGGGACTGCTATTTATAGACTTTAAGATTTACAGCAACACCTACAAAACCAAATTAAAATACTGTAAATTTCCCCATCCTTCTGTCAGTTTATTTGTAATCACAACAAGTGAGTCCAAATAGGTCTTGCAGTGCTTCTGAAAGATGCTCTACCCTCAGCTTTGAAGGGTATCTGAAGAGAAAGAGTTGCATAACCAAGGGATGACTCTTATCTACATACCTTGCTAAATTTGCCTGAAAAGGGATACTGATAGGACTCTACCATTGGCTGATTTCAGATAACTAGCACCATTGCTCAGCATAGGGAAAGAAGTGATTGGTTAAGTTTTGTTGTTAGTCTGAAGCCTTTTAGCTGTGTATTGGTCAAAACCAGCGGCTTACATTCTTTTTAGAAGCAGACACTGGAACAATGTTGCCAGTGATCGATTGCCATTAGGAGGAGATGGGCTGATTTGCTCAGCACCGAAGACGAAACTCATATTAAAAGGATATTACTGTTCAAAATATGTATGTTAATTTAGTTAGAATGAATTTCCAAAGGGATATCTGTGTAAATATAATGCAGAAAAAGGGACAACGTAAGTTGAGCCCTGCTGAATCCTGCCAGAGGCAAATCTTACCCAGTATTATGTCCTCACAGTTGCCAACTTGATGTCTATGAGAAGCCCGCAAGCAGAAATTGAACGCATCAGCAGTCTCCCCACTTGTAATTCCTAGTAGCTGGTATACAGAGGTTATACTTACTCGTGAGAAAGGTTTTGGGAGTAATCCGCAAGGAAAAATCCCTACTTGCTGCCTAGTGGGGTATCTTCAGGAGAAGAAAAGGTTAAGGAGCAAATCCTACACAAATCCAAAGTGAAGTCCCTAAGACGGTTGAATAGCATCTTGTATGCCTCCTTCCGGCAGCTCCTGCAGCCAAGCTGGTGCCAGAAGTATTGCTCTGCTTACCTTGAACTGCATCAATGAGGCCGAGTGGAGGATCTTGTTGTCTGGGCTGCCCAGGACCTCCACACACACTGTGCCCAGGTTTCCGCCCTGGAGAGGTCACTTCAGTGCTACTAATGCAGCAAAAACAATCAATGCAAGAGGCAGCAGTTATGAGTTACCAGTCTCTGCAGCCACAGCAGGTGCTGTGATTTCCCAGCAATTTGCCTTCAATCCCAGAGGCACACTCCATTGTATCTTGAGAAAGACGGATACCAACAAAACTGCCTCCAACAGTGGAACATCTCTCATGGGCTAGTAACCATTGATACCCTTGCCCTTCATGAATTTATCTAATCCCCCTTTAAAGCCATCTAAGTTGGTTGGAATCACTACCTTTTGTAGGAGCAAATTCCAATCTAACTATGCTCAAGGTGAAGAAGAAATAGCCTTGTATTACTCTGAAGGCTAATGCATTTGATTACAAGGTTTTTAAGGTTAAGAACAAAACTATATCCACATTGAGTTTTCAGTTAATGTGAATTGTGATCAATTTGAGTAAAACAAATCCTGTATCCTGCTCCTGTTACATATTGACAGTACTGAAATTTAAATTGCCAAAACATAACCAAGAGAACTGCCTAGGATTAGATATAGCTTGCTTCACCAGCTGGCTTATATAATATGATGAAACTCTTGGGATGACTCAGGATTGAAGAAAGGAAACCAATCGGAGGCAGTTTGGAAAACAAAATACATTCCTAATTATACAGAAATGTTGCAGTATTTACTAAATTTCACACTTTATTACCAAGATGAAAAATGTGATTTTTTTTTACTCAATAGTAAGTAAAAAGTAAGCATTAGATGCTGACTCTACAGTGCTACTAAATGTTTTTCACCCATTCAATCCAGTTCTATCTTGCCCATTTCTTTTCATGATTGAGATTGTGATTCCACGATTCTACTAAATGTTTTTGTACCCATTTAATCCAGTATTATCTTACCTATTTCTTTTCATGCGTGAGACAAGTTTTCAGGTCATACCCCAAAGGAGCATAAAACCTACTGCAGATGAGCAGCTTTTAATTTTTGTGTGATCTCTTTTATCTCATCAAAAATGCTGATCATCAAAGGTCAAGGGAAGTACAACAATCACATAAGGCATGTCTTCATACACAAGGAACCCCAGTTGTCTAATGGCTGGTGTGTAGGTGCACATATTTTGTCCCTCCAGGACTCAATTTATCTGAACTGATAAGTTGGGTAGGGAAATTCTGGGTGTTGGATACAGCATGATTAAGAACTGTCAACATGTAGTCTTTCTCATTCCAAGGAATATGGGATCCATGGCTCCCAACTTCCTCCACATAAACTTGATAAATAATATGAAGTTGTGAATAATAAAGATGGCGGAGGAGAGAACTAATTTGATGTAGCTGAATGAGGTGAACAGGTTGGATTTCTCCTTGTGCAAGTACCCAGTGTACATTTTGTCTGGCATTGATTATGTTTTTTATGTATTTTTCTCTAAGGACAAGTTTAACATTCTGCTAGTTTAGCAACTTCCCAAGGAGCTAGCAGATTCTATGATCAGATAGAGGTGATCTTAAGCCTGGTGTTTGAAGCATTCTTGCTTACGGTACTGGATGTCCTCTGACATTCATTCCAAGGTCATCTGACTTAGGACTGTTGGGAATTCCATTCCACCCTTGCTGCAGATATGTGGGATTGTTACATGTCACATGTCTGTTTACATTCCAGCACAGATTGCTGGAGTCCCATGAGCGGAACATCCGCTCTGTATTGCTTTTGTTTTCTCTCTCTCTGAGAAGAACGACCATGTTTTTCTTTGTCCTGATTTATGTATAATAAATGCGTAGTATAGTCCGACAAGGACTTCATGGCTTTCATAACTTCCAATGAGTTGTCCTAGGTTATATTGGGAATATTAAAAAGTTTAAAAGTTCAAGCTTTAGGTTTACTTTTCAGTATTAGGCAGACACCATTAATCTAGAATTATTAGTGACATTGATATAAGGACGTTGTTACAGATAAGACAGCTACCTAATCAAGGTTGCCTACCTATGCAAGGATGGTGAACTAATTGGGTTGGTCTGTTACAGGGACCCTAATGTAACTCTAATATATTCTATAATTATCATGGTGGGGTTACTAATGGAGAATGTAAAGAGGTTCTGTGGATACCCTAATCAAACTGTGAACATAGTTCCTTAAATTTAGCAAAGAGAAATGCTGTTACAACCCACACCCGCCCTACCCTAACGTGAATACCATTCTGTATCTGCTAACATGGGCCACCACGTTCTTCAATAGCTGGAAGTTTCCAAATCTTTTTCAGATGCAGCTCCAGGAAGAGTGCATTATAAGAGTGTAATCTGGAGGTTGCCAGAGCATGAATGACAGCCACCCATCTCTGTATTCAGGAAGACAGTGTAGCATTGCGTACAGCTGCATTCTGATGGCACAGAAGCTGCGAATGATGAAGTATTATTGCAAAATCTGTGTGTCTTGCCCGGAGCATTATCTGGATTTAAGACCATCTGGGAACCGTAAAGTTAGCCACTTAAGAGCAGAAGAGCAGGGTTACAAGAGCAACAACCAACTGCAGCCATTCAAAATC